TGCACACCCGGCAAAGAGCTTCGGACGAGGTTGAGGTTGAAGAGGCAAAACAACCACAGACCGGTCCCAGGCATCGCAGGAAAAGATCAGCAGGCACGGACTACAGTGAAGACATATTTTAATGAATAGGTACTGTAGCAGGCTCGTGTGGAATGCCAGCTGCTTGGTTTCATGCCGATGCTGTAAGCACGGCAATCCGCAGCAGCCCTCGCCTGGCTTGTGCACAATAGTGTTTAATTAAGGCAGCAGATTTCAAGGTTGACAGACGGTCATGAACGGCTGGTGCACGTGCCGTCCATCGTCCGTACTTCTTAGTCGGTGCGAACAGCAAGCGGCGATGCTCAGCAACGCACCTGTCGAGCATGAAATCAACTTTGGCCCCGTTTTTAAGCACGTGTATAATCGATGCATCACAAAGGAAAACCGGCAAGCAAGTGACGGATGAGAAACGGAGAAACGACCGGAGTGTCAGCAACCGTAACAAACTGACTCAAGCCTCTCTGCTCTACCCCCCCCCCTCACCCCCACTCTTTCCTTGGAGCGTTCACTCCCCCATGTCATGTGCCGTTGCTAGGTCATCTGGTTAAGGGTTAAAAACGGCTGTAGTTCATTTTTGTATTAAACTCGTCAGGCAGAAAAAAACCACAACCGTCTTGTGCTCTGAACCATTGTCCTGAAATGCACAGACGGCATAGAGCCTTAAATATTGCCCAGTGGCGGACATTGAAGTTCTTAAACAGTGAAATGCACGTGGTCCCTGCTTTTAAACTTTAAACTCGCTGGAAAAGGTTGCCTGGCCAGGCAGTGGTTGGTCCTCAGGAACTGAACCCGCTAAGTCTCGACAGGCGACTACTCAAATTTGGTCCGTGGTCCCATCGTCCCGTCCGTCGGGCGGGCCATCGAAAGTTGAAGGGCGTTCGTCGCGTCCTCTTTCGACCGCATGGCGTTTCTCTGCCGCCGTAGGCGGTGAAAAATCGCGCCGCCTTTTGCGCGTGATTGCGCACCGTCATAAAGCCCCTTCAACCAGCATCTTTCAAGTAGAATAACTACTTCCAGTTTTTGCCCCCCGGCGACACGCCGTTCACTCCTCATCCTACATTTGGGGCTGGATTTTATTTAATGCGATTGCCCACCAAATTTCCCGACACTTCTGCGCGTCACTTGCCGTTTGTCTTTGCTGCGCTGCTCCCGCTGCTGCCACCACCGTCGCCCGTCGCCGCCGCCCGTCCGCATTCGCTGTCCTCCTCGCTCAAACCGTCGCGTACAAAGTCTAGCCTGAACATCACAATCGTCGACTGTTT